ATGAAAGAAGATATTGAGATAATTACCTGAACGGATCAGCCATTAAGTATGGAGAAAGGTATTTTTTTGGTGATATCGTTCTTGAACGTAGCTGTGACTTTTGCTGCTGATTCGACTTTGCCGAAGCGCTTAATCGTCGCGATTCTGATTGTCGTTCACGTTCTATTCTTCGAAAAACGCATTCATATGTTTGACATGTTCGGGAGATATGTTTTGGTGGACGATGTTTTTTCGATTTCTCTGTAATCGTCTGCTGTCCATCGTGATCATGATATCCAACCGATTTAGAGCGTTGTTTCGAATGTTTCTTATTTGGTGTAGGCTGATGATCTTGATTGACAAATGCTTCGGCTGTTGTTGTAGGAGAGTTTTCACCGTCCGAAAGCTTTTTAACAACGAGAGTGATATTCACGTTGACAGGATCTTTATCTTGACGAGAACCATTCAATTCTGTAACTGTGCATCGATCGTGTGTGTTAGGTAATGATTCTCGATTCGATGTTCGACGACGGGCAGAATGAAAATGTTCCGACATTGGTTTTGTCGCTTTCAATGGTTTTTGACGTTTCGGTTCTACATACATAATTATGTGTATTTATATGCAACTAAGTGAGTAATCGCGTACCTAATTCATCAGAGGAACTTTGTTGTCGCGGTTGTTTAGAGGTAGAAGTTGAATTTTGCTTTGGCTTAGTATTCTGTTCATCAGGATCAGTGTTTCTTGCTGATGTTGAATCGAGCGATTTGTCATCAACGAGAGGAATATGTGTCGATGAGTTCCAACTGGCACTTCGCCGCGGCGGATGATCTTGTTTACCTTTTTCTCTACTTCTTACTGATTGCTTATCATTACTGAAATGCATCGAAGGAATACTTGCATGTTTCATCCAGCGTCGAGTGGATGGTTCATCTTCGCTGGGCGATGATGAAGTGTATTTGTTTTGTTTCGAACGATCGGTCAGTAGCGGTGCTAGCCTTGTGTTGGATGTTTCAGAACGAGTGAGTTTTTCTCGTTGAGGAGAAGATATAACAGAAGGTAGTTTCGATGATATTTGCCGATCGAAATCCGAATCCGTTGCAGATGTACGCTGAGATATAAAAAAGAGAAATAGAGATCTTTTCGGAGAATGAATGAGTTAGGATCGACTTACTTTTTGGTTTTGTAGGCTAGATTTCGAAGGATTTGCAACTATGGATGTAACCGTAGTTTTATCGGTGTATAAGCGTGAATGTCGTTTTGATTGGTCTTCCAAACGCCGTTGTAGCGGTGATAATCTTTGATATTTTGTGCTATTTTCTGTCGATGACGAAGATTCTTGTTTATGTTTACTAAATGTTGTTCGAATGCTGCCATTACTTAACGAGGTTGAATCTTTTTTAATCGAACTATTACGACAACGATTTCAATCGAGAATATTTTGTTTAACGGGCGAGTAAATAGTTTACATACCTCGTCTGAATGTCATTTGTTCGATGTATGGGTGATTTCTGTTTCTCTGTGGTAGTAATTTGTTGTTTCAAATCTGTACTATTCTTTCGTTGGTCATTTGTCTGTTTGTCAGATACTTCTGATTCCAGAATAAGACTTCCTTGTTTATTGAAGACTTCTTGCTCAGCAATGGTACTTCCTTCCCGACTGGACTGTTTTTGTTGACTACTGCGCGAGAAAGATAGTCGATTTCTTGTATCTTTCCTTTGGATACTCACTTGTCTAATTCGTCATCATGAAGCTCAGAATTACTTTCTCGACGACTATGAGATGTCCGTTCTGTTGACTCTTTGCTTTTATCGTCATGTTCGCTACAATAGTATTGAAATAATGATTTCAAGTTGAAAATGTCTCGCTGACGTACCTGACCGATTGTGAATCAATAGTTTCTAATGGTTTCTTGTTATCAACACTTTCTCGTCGATTATTGGATAACGCAATATCGTCTTCGATGACTCTCTCATTACCAACCACACTCGTCATTGAACTTTTACGACTCATCTCACTCGGTGATCTAGTTTGATCTTGCTCTGTACCGGTGAAGCTGTATTTTAATAATGGATTGAATAACATAATTGATCGAACCCCTCGTACCGTTGTTGGGGGTGGACTGTTAAGTCGTTCAACAATGAATTCATTTGATGGTACTTGTAGTTGTTCAGTCGAGGAACTATGTGTCAGCTCGTTGTTTGGTGTTAAAAGACGACTTGAATGGCTGCTATTAGGTCGAGTTGAGTGTTGGCGATTGGTGCTGCTTATATTTTCTTTTGATGATTCCAATGGAAGACATTGTTTTAGCAATGGGTCTTTCACATGGTTGTCATCCAACTCCGTCGAATGATACTCGTTTAAAGATTTTTCTTGAGAATTTTCTTCATTTAATTGTGAATCATCGAGTACCGGCGATCTTGAATGATTAATTAATGATATATTATGCTGTGGACTTTGAGGACTATGATCAGTCTGATCAGGTGAGTGCGTAGATGTTGATGTCTATGGTAGAGAGAAAGCGTATGTATGACATTAGCCATGAGAAATCTTACTTCTTCAGGTAATGTATGAATTGCTCGAAACCGTATTGTTTCATCACGATTATCTTGTTTAATAACGGCTGATGATGACCAATTATCATCAACAGTTCCTGCTTTTATTTCAAAATTGTCATGATCATCGTCATGCAATGAGTTATTTATAGGATGCTCTTCTTCAGATTGATTATCATTAGGATGGCCAGATACATTCATGGGCGCTGTTTCTATACCATGTACGTCCTCGTTATCGGATGAGCTATCATCTTGACGAATCGGTAATGATTGTTCGTGTATAATTTGATGATTGACAATAGCTGGCTCACTTAACGATCGTACAACGTCGTTTGTTGGATTTTCTGGTAAAGAATCCGATTCATTACTAATTCCATCACCTGATCGACGCTGAATACCATCATGAGTAAACTCATGGTTCGTCAGTGAATGGTCAAATTTTTCGGAAACGGTCAGCGTACCTTCCAGTGGAGTCTGATGATCATTCTGCGCACTTACCGTTTTGCTGGCGTCTTTAATAATATGTGTACTTAGATCACTAACGTATGTGTCCATTCGTGAACGCTCGTCTAGAAAGAACGAATGAATGGTGTAAAACTCAAATTTCATAATCATAATCTACCTCGTTGGGGAGCTAAATGATTATCTAGAAGAAAACTCAAAGCACCGTGTGTAATCGTTTGAGATAGTAGTGTTGTGTCATCAACTGCACTCATACTTTTGTTTATAAGAATTCAATAGCACTAAAAAGCTATTGTTTAAGCAATGACTTGAAATCTATACGAATAGACGACCCTCAATGCTATCAAAAGCAGTGCTTTTTACTTCCAACTATCCGATATTTTAATCGAGATGAAGACTTTTCTTTTCTATAATAAAAGAAATATATAGACCGATGAAATGATTTTAGTACAAGTAGAGTTTCAATTAAATAAATAATCTGCACTAGAAATGACTAGATTCTTATTCCTATTGAAGATCATCATGAATACAAATCGCTGAAACATAATTGTTTTTCTACCTGTTTGCTTTAGATTGTCAATTTGTTGTCATGGGAAAAGTTGTTGATCAAGTAGTGTGTGATTTGTCAAGAAAAAGAAGTATGTTTTCCATTACAGACGAGAATCAAGCTAATGTATTCGATCATCTAGTTTTCTGATTTTTCTTCGTACATAATCGAACGACGTCCGGAAGAAAAGAACGCGGGGAAAACCAATGACGTCTTTTTTTCTTTTCTTCTCTGTCCTAGTTCACTTCGGAGTTAATATGAACTGTGATTTGCTAATAACTGGATTCTCTATGCCAGATGAAGTCTAATTGATCTTATGCGTCCACCTTCAACGTATGTTATACGACACCTCGAGTATATATGAAGAAAGAATGAAATTAAGACGTGAATGTCAAAAGAGAATGAAAGCTCGTGGCGAATGAAGCCAGTTAAGTTTGACTAAATATCAATAAGACTTTCTTTTCTCGTTCGATTTACGTTTGAAGTGAAAAGGTATGGGTTTGTCAAATAACAAGTTTTCATATATATTCAAATACACATATCGAATGAACGGAAGAATAATAAACTTTGAATCTTTATTTGATTAGCGCAACACAAATCTTCAAAAAGCTGTTTTTGCGAGAGGCATTGTGACAGAGCAAAATTAGCTCCGTAGTTCATATAGTTTGGTAATTAATTCGTAGTAGGTTCATGTAAATGTAGATATCAGTTGCTATATTTCAATGTCCAAGTGTTATCTATCAACACATGCGCTAAAGATAGATAAATACAAATTAATTGACTGTTGAATAATTAATAATATCAATTCATGGTATATTTACCTTACTGACATTCAGAAAATATTTTTGAAATGGTGATAAAAAATCTGATAGATTAGTCACTAGAACTTCTTTTTTCATCAGCAATCGAACAAATCAGTTTTTTGTTTAGAAAACTGAATATGTCAATGAATTACACCAGATTATTTGAATTATCCTATCTGTAAATATAACATTCTGGTTATCGCACTACTGAGTACAAACATAAACGATTGCGTGAATTTAATGCCATATATGCAGATATAAAGTTATATCAGGCATCTACAAACATTACAATCAGTCTAGCTTTAGATCATTCGTATCTATAGATATTCATTTTAATCTGATAAATATAGGGCAAGTCAACATATAGGATATAGAAAATAAATCATAGTTGAACTTGATGCAATGCATAAATGAGCACGAGGAGAAATAAGTATTACCACATCAGTTTTTGATTCAAACAAAATATTCTTACTCTACGCGAATCTCTTTGTAATTGTCGCAAGTCAAATTTCGAATGTTTGTATTTGCACTCCTAGAGTATAAGAAATCCATGTGCTTTTTTCAGATGAAAAAAAAGAACGTTTTTCAAACGATCTGCCATCGACATTGCGAGAGCGGAGGTTTTGTGCGCACAGATTCATTCTTCTGAATATAACATGCCATCCGATAAACGATTGAGTAAAATTGGACTATGGTTATGTCTTCCCTTGCTGCTCATATTATCGGCTTACTTATACATCGGATCAGATCTTGTTCATCAGCCGCGTTATTCTCTCGAACAAAAATTAGTCTCATCAAATACTTCGACGTCGACCAGTACCAAAGCGAGTTTACTCGATGGGAATCAGCTGTTAAATGGCACACCAAATGAAGGTTTTGTTACGTATGTTGATAATAGCAGACTTTATTATAATCTGCTAATTCAACTTCTCGATTCAATTCATTATTTTTCCACGCGACCTATTATTGCCTATGGCATCGATATTGATCTCGATTTCGATACAAAAAAGTATCCTAGGTTGATTCAGCGGCGTTTAAACAAAAGCAATTGTGGAAGATCAGTATTCTTTTGTAAAATTCATGCAATCATCGAAAGTAAACTCGATTACGGCATACAAATCGATGCTGACAGCGTCGTCAATTGGAATATCGACATTCTGTTCGACGTTATTCATCGTTGGCCATATTCATTTCCACTGGCACCCCGTCACCCAACTCCTCCTAACAATATGGATTCCTTTTTCAAAGCATTCCAACTTGACAAGAAGAATCGCAGTATGCCCTATGTTCATGCACAATTTTCTTGGAACTATCGAGCGTATCCCTTCTTCATTAGGGCACTTCGATACATGCGCGAAGGTAATTTCCTCGGAGCAAACTATGATGAATCCGCTGTCAATGTTTTCCTATGGAAAGATCGAGTACAGCATACTTTGTGTAGAATCGATCCATTTGTTGAATACCTACCCGCATACGAAAATCAGGAACAGACATGTGGAAAAAGTTGTCATGCAGCTTTTATGATTATTCACGGTGCGAAAGACGCGTCCATTGCGCGTCGTTCATTTAAACATCTGAGAAAATTGAAAAGATTACCATTTATCCAAACACCTTCACACGGTTTTCATTATTTAAATGAAACGCAATTCACATGTTGTGAACCGGATAGTCAACCATCATCGATTCATCCGTTGATTTGCGAATATCCTCATTGGAAATTGGGAAATTGATGTTGTTTCGCTTTTCAAAATATTTGCAATAAAGTATTCTCACAAAGTCACACAAACTCACATCTTCTCGGTTTGCTTTAAATTTGTCAAACGCCTATATCGCGTACACTTCGTTCCTCCTTCGTGTTCTAATGTGCCATTGATTTTTCTTTTCTAAATATCGATCTCTACTGATAAATTTCTTCGTCGTCCTAGAGAGAAGCACACATAGAGTTGCTAGAAAGACTTTCTATTTCTCGCGAACTCAAATAACGAAGCTACCACCCTAACTTCCATCAGAAAAAAATGATCAAGTGACTCACCACGCTCCATGGTCGTTCTGAAAACATGTTGCGTTGTTTGTGTATATAATATAAATTGTTAAAATGTCTCGAGTGCACATCATAGACACGTGGTTACATGAATTTTTGCAAATGGTTACGCTAGTTGACAAACTCACATTTCGAACAACATATATTTTCTATGTGATTTTCATTGTATTTTAGATAGTATTAGTGAATACAAAGATGGATCTTCACTGTAAACCGCAGACAACTTTTATTGGTTTGATCGGTTTTATAATCTTTGTGTTGTACATTTATTTTTTGCAAGTTTCGGGAGTTATGACAAAAATAATGAGATACGTTCCTGACGATTTCTTTGCGGAACTATATCTCTTTTCATCTGATGATTCAGCACAGCTTCTTATCCACGGGTTACCACTGAACAGTACCCCAAGTGAAGGTTTCGTTACATTCTCCGATGGAAATTCTCGATATCTTTCTCTTTTAATGAATCTCTTGGATTCTGTTCATCAATTTTCGACCAGACCGGTGATTGCATATGGCATCGACATTGATCTCGAATTTGACTCTAAACGATATCCTCGATTGATTCAACGCCGTTTGAACAGAAGCGATTGCGGCCCATCGATCTATTTCTGTAAAATTCATGCAATTATCGAAAGCAAACTCGATTACGGGATACATCTAGAAGCAGATAGCGTCGTCAATTGGCATATTGATGTTCTTTTCGACGTTGTTCATCGTTGGCCATATCCACTTCCACTTGCCCCTCGACATCCCGATGATCCAGAGAACTATTATATGTTTTTCCGCAAGCATCGAATCAGTCGTCGGCGACGTTTAACTCCGTACATTCATGCGCAGTTCTCATGGAATTATCGAGCATATCCATTTTTTCGACACGCTCTTAAACTAATGCGAGAAGGCGATTTCATGGCGGCGAATTTCGATGAGACAGGTATCAATATTCTCCTATGGAAAGCCAAGGCCAATCATACATTTTGTAAAATTGATCCTTTTTTCACTTATCTACCAGCTTACGAAAGAAATCAATTGACATGCGATAAGTACTGTCACACAGCGTTTATTTTCGTTCATGGCTCGAAAGTTTACAGCGAGATGCACGATGTATTTCAACGATTGATAACTCATGCAGGTTCACCGTACATCCAAACACCTTCACACGGTTTCCATTATTTAAATGAAACGCAATTTACATGTTGTGAACCGGATAGTCAACCATCGTCGATTCATCCGCTACTCTGTGAATATCGCAAATAAAAAATAAAATAATTTTCCTAGAATGCCGAATTTATCAGGTGTCGGTTCAAATTAGTTCTACCGACAGAAGATATCTAAAAAAAATACACCTGAGGCGCTAATAGTATCTGTAGAGAAAAGCGTAATATATATTAATGAACGGGAAACATCCATTCAATTTCAGTGCTAGCTGTTTTTGTTTTGGCTAACACACATGTCTCCAAGGCAAGAGAAACAATATCTATTGTTCTTAATCAAAGTAGATTATTCATCGACAAATCAAACGTTGCTCACTTATAATCAATCACTGAATGGGCCCAATGCATTTGGAATGCTTTGTTTCTTATTGTACCTGGCTCATTGACACTACTAAAAAACTATAAAGTACGCGCGATCTCTGTGTCTCTGGTGCATCCTTACTTTGAAATTCCAATCGAGAAACTAGTAAGTAAATTTGTGTGTTTATATATATACTGGAGACGGAGTTCACGTATCCTGTCAACACTACTTACTCATACATGCAATAGAAAGATCTCTTTTCATAACAGATCATTTGTCTTGATTAAACACCGAATTAACATTGTCTTCGTCGACTTAATTCTTATAGATAGTTCATTTATCGCCACGAGAATCTCTTTTTCTTTTCTCATCAATCAGCATATCTATAGATTAATTTCATCGAGCATTTCACCACCGAATACTATCACAAACAGGCTCTTGTAAACAAAATCTACAACATACTGTTATTCGATACATCGGAATACGAAACAAAGTTTTGTTATAAACCATTGCCTTCATCTGATCATACATATCGATCTATCGCCTACGTCAATATCATATCAAAACAACAGCTGCTAGTTTTCTTTCCATTTTCACTTATCATTTGATCTTCCAATACAACAATACACGTCAGCATTTGGAACGTTGATTACAAATGACATACTATTACCACTATTGTTCAAGTAAGAATTCAGAATTGCGAGTAGAGAAAAATAACAAAACGATTAATCATGCGAAAGGCACGTAAAGAGGTAAAGATGCTTCGAAAGAAAAGTCAAACAAAACAAAAAAAAACTTCTGTATGTACAATTAGTTTTCACAAACAATCACATCCTTTTTCTATTTAATCGGTAATCTCAGTCAACATTTTCATTCGTTACATCTAATCAAAATCACTTTTTCTTCAGCTTGAGACTTCTGGTTTTAGATTTCATGTCAACGAATGTCAAAGTATTACACATCTGTTTTATTTCTAATCTCTACATAGGTATCTCTCGTTTGTTCTCTTCTTCTTCGTCGTCGTCTTTTGTCTATCAATTCGAATGATTTCAACGCCTCTCTATCAGAGATTATTTTTTTTCTTTTTCTTTTACTGATCCCTATCGATAGTATTGAAGTGATTACACACTACACTATACAACTATTGAACCTAATCTTTTGCGCCTTTCCGTTTGACATGATCGATCACTATTACTTCTTCGTTGATAAATATGTTCGACGTCTGATCTTTCTTTTTTCCCTCTTCTTATCGCCAATTTTTGTTGTCTCTCTCTCTCTATATATATATATACGTTGAGTAGCATTTTTGGCACTCTCTGACATTTCAATTGAACATTGAAAGAATTGTGATGGTGACGATGACGCTGCTAGGGTTATACAACCATACATTGGCACACATCTCGACGTACATAACACAACAATGTGATATGCAGACAGAATGAACGAACAAACGAATATGATCCGCTTATAGACGTGTGTGGAGTAGTAAAAACGAAAGAAAGAGAGAAGAACAATCACCGATTCCCTTTTTTCTTCTTCTTTTGCGTTCAACATCTTACATATACGTCTTGTTCGTCTTTACTTGGTCAAATAATAGACAATGATCTGCACATTTGATCGGTGATTGATTTGAAAAAAACATCGAATGTATAATTATAAACAACACCTGAAAGTCAATTGTAAGTTTCACTCCAACCAATTCATTTATTTTACATTATAAAATGACGTAAAAGATCCAAGAGAAAGAGAGAGGGAGAGAACTATAAATATGAAAATATACATGCATGTTCGCGACTCAAGTGTTTGTTGCGTAGTTCTTTTACTTTTCTTTTTTTTTTCTTCTGTTGTTTTTACTCTTGGAAGAAGAAGAAGGAGAAGAGAAAAAAGAAACAGAGGCAAACACATCTTGTCACGTCGTATTATATGCATCTATCAACAAAACACTTGCTTATGATTCTTTCGTTGTAAAACCTTCATCATCATTATTAGGTTCTACAATATACTTGTTTTCATATTTTTTCGTCGTTGATAACTTTTTTTTCATCGACTAACATGCAATTATTTATTTCATGTTGTCAACATGTAAATCGACAGTGAGCGTATGCGTTTGTATTTTGTACGTTTTCTTCTCGTAAGACAATCAACAGGATGTCGAGAATTTCAATTCACGTGCATTTTCTAGTTTCACCACGTACATGAGTCATTGTTTAAGTTGATAAAACAGACGTATTAGACTCTCGATATCTTTTTTCATGATAAAATTTAAAAATACACTTTTCACTTGTTTGCTTAAAGATCCAATGGCGACTCCATCTAGTAATGCTTCACAAGCTTCCAAATCGCGTGGTCATTCCCTGTTTGATCGCCAAGCACAAAGGCATGGAGGTGATTTGAACAAAGAAGCGAATGCCACTATTGTGGATGGTTCTCCTCCAACAGCACCACTAAGACCGTCTCATTCGGTATCACCGCCATCTATTTCGTCAGTATCACAATCACATCGCAAAATACCGTTGACAGTGATAGACTCATGTCCACAACTAAACGACACTAATGTTCGGTTAATTAGTGTTAATCCAAGACCGGAGCCGGCTTATATTAAAGAAATATCATCCTTTACACAATCACCGCCGCCGCCGCCACCACCTCCACCTCCACCACTAGAGCCAGCTTCCACCCACTTGCAGGAAACTGAATTTCCATTGTATGACAATTGTCCCACAGATGAACCTGAAGACGTTCTACCTACGAATACGACATGTGCAGCTATTGTTCAGCAAGCTTTCGATTATCTCCCATCTCATGACGACGACGACGATGTTATTCACGAAGCACATCATGATGAACAAGATGATTATAGTCAAAGTTTTGATGGTGATGACAACGACGATCACAGTAGCAGCACAAATGAACTTGATGGAACTACAACTATTATTATTCATCAACAAGCGGATAGTAAGTTTGAAATTTTCTCTTTGCTGACAACATATTGATCCTATCAAATATCTATCGATCTAAATTTAGAATTCGAGCATTTCCTATGAAGAGTGTTACGTTAGATTTATGAATATATGATGACTTTTTCTCTTTCTTTCTTGTTCTCTTCTATATTTGATCTCGAGAATATTAGATATGTCGTGCTTCATAAATCATACGAAGCTATCTTTGAAAGGCTTGACCTTGACTGTTAACGTAACGAACATGTTACTCGTGCCGATGTGAACATATGTGACGCCTAAGCAGGAAAAAGATTTTTTATTCAATTGTTTATATCGTTTGAAGACATGGGAGGAAGCATACGAACGAACAAATAAAAACTAAATTAGTCTGATATTTGTTAAGGTTTGAACAGAAGAGGAAAGTCATGCTTGTGTTTTCGAATCAATCGTTTTTCTTCGTACGTAATTAGATCAGATCATTCAATCCAGATTTTCAAAATTGACGCTCGACTCTTTCAGTCTCAAGGTTAGTCATCCGTAGACTAAATAGAGCGACAAGATTAAACCTAAATTGAATAAATGACATTACCATTTTGCTCGTTTCTTTTTCTTTTTTATGGCTGCACAATGCCTCATCATTTGAGCTGAGAGAGAATACGCGTGTCACAAAATCAGTCATAGCCGATGCATGTTCGACAATCCTGCGGAAGAAAGACGGTCAAGTTAAGAAATAAACTTCGTAGAGATAGAGTTTAATACAATTAGTCGGTAATACTGATCATCATAGATGACCTTGCTATTGAATCGGATGACTAAATGCACTTCTGCATACTAATATATCCAGTTTTTCTTTCATTCAAACGCACGTACACTCTATTGTTAGTCTTGATCCGTAATTTCAGAAAAAGATAAGACAAATTTCATCGACACGTTTTACTTTCATTTGAAAAATTTTCATCTTTTATCATGTTCGCCTTTGTAGGCGAAGTTTCTCCGTTAGCAACAACGGAAATGAATGGCATTCCAACAAGTGAAGACAAATTCGATGATCAACAGATACCAACAGTTTCTTCGAGTCGAAGTGGAATGAGTAATGAAGATTATGACAGTGATTTCGATGACTCATCACCAGAAGATGACGAACAAGTCATCACAAAAGACACCAGCCATGATGACGAAGAAGAACAGCAGAATCAAATCCTTGTACGGCATAAATTATGACAAGTATTGCAATACCGATTTATTTTCCATCTGTAGATACGTCAACAACAAATTCTATGGGGCATTGTTCAAGAATGGTCCAGAAAAGAAGAATCTTATTGTGAACAATTGCAAAGAATGGTGGAACAAGTAATCAATAATCTTCATTAGTTTCCTCATTCTTCACATTCATGTCGGTTACTTGTAGTTCAGTTTTCTGTCCAATGCAAACGAAGCACAAAAATCAATTCAAACACTGATCGATAAACACAAACAAATCTATCGAGAAATCGAAGATCTTTATGATCGTGATCAAAAATTGGACAACTTAATAAAGCGTTTAACAAAAACAGTTGATACATTAGTATGATTATATCCTTGACAACTCTTTCAAGCAAAAATGTTACTTCTTTCGTCTAGATGGACACATTGCCTGTATATATTGATTATTTCAAGATAAATTTAGCACCGATCAAAAAGTCATTAGATAAGCGAGTAATTCCAAATGGTTTCACGAGCGAAGGTACGAATCTTTTCTCGCTAAATATGATTCTTTTCGCAGTGAAATACATTTTAGATCTTCTATCAGTTCCTCCAAAACAA